AAATGTCAAGGGTGCTGTTCCAAGGAGACTTAGCATTAGCTTTTGTAATATTGACCTACTTATTTGCCTACTCTGGGGATGGCAATAATAGTTTCCTTTTTTCCAAATCTTAGGGATACACAATAGCCATTTAAGAGCTAAAGCAATATATTTGCACAGAGGTGAAATATATATATGGTACTTTATGAACTCAGGAAGAAATAAAGGGTGTCATGTGTTCTTATGAAGTTATACTGAGGCAGACCATTGGTCCATGTAGTTTAGAACACCTACCTCCTATTCTTTTCAACAGAGATGCCCTGTAATGAAACACCGGGAGCGGGAGGGGGTGCCCTTCTGCATGCATTCAAAACAGAAGTTCATGATTTGAATGCAGTATCTAAGTATCTTCAGAACAGATGTTGCTCTAGGAAGCTTGGAATTTGGTGAGACTTCCCAGGGGAAAGATTTAGAAAGAGAATATGTGCTCCAAAGACAAAAACAAATAGAGGGGTATGGCTGTATGTATGTTTCACTGGCTGATTCTGCATTGGCTTTTCCCTCTGTTGTTTTACAAAACCCACATTGGAACAGAAATTCCCCTCTGCATTGCATGCTCCTTTCACTTTGCTCATCGGATTTTATGGTAGCCTCCATGCTCCATGCCGCTTTCGCTTTCTTTGATCATCGGATTTTATTGTACCTTCTGCACAGATTTATGGCCATTTCATGGCCATTCGGGGTGACTTTGCAGTCAGTATGGCGTTGCCCTGAGGTATCTGAATGTGGTTTTGAGCTGCACTTTTTCCTCCCAGTTGAGAAAATGTGGAGCAAACGCTAGATGCAGAATCGTCCACTGCTGACTGAAAAAGTATGAGTGTAGTCTTTGGTCTAGTGGCTTATAGCAGGCACATTTGAACAGCAGGAGAGCATGAACACAGAAGGACAGAATGTTTTAATTCAGTCTCTTCATTTTTATGGAAGCATCAAGGGATCAAATATTAGCAATCTGGGCATTTATGCTGAGTGGCACATGAGGTGCCCTCTAGGTGATCGGTTGACAGCCATGTTAGTCTCACATGAAGGTGCTGGTCCGTATGTAGAAGTCCAACAGTATCAGCTCCTAGATGTGCCATTTGTATGACAATAGTCACAACGAGCAAGGAACCGTAGTTAGTTACAGTTCAGTGGAATCACAAGCACAAGTATCAACAGATCAAAGATGGAGAGGGCTTGATTTTTACATAAAATTGTACGAGTATTCAAGTGTTGGATCCTAAAGGACTTGCAGGGGGGATTTCATTTCCCCCGCCTCACTATTTCTCCATTCCCTGAAAGCCCTCATAACTATTCCCTTTTTCTTGCTTCCTTCTCACCTTCCCAACCAACAGTGAGCTTGCCTTTATCTGCCTTCCCGTGTTTGGCTTTTCCTTCTTCCCTCCCCCTGACATCTTCTCCTGGGAAAACTCTGGCATGGTGCTGGCCACCAGGCCCGGTGGACAGCAGGGGACCCACAATGATTTGCAAAGGGAACAATTGATGTAGTGGTTAAGTGCGCAGACTCTAGGAGAACCGGGTTTGATTCCCCACTCCTCCACTTGCAGCTGCTGGATGACCTTGGGCAAGCCATAGTTCTGTCAGAGCCTCTCTGAAAAGAGCAGTTCTTGAAAGAGCTCTCTCAACTCCACCTACCTCACAGGGTGCCTGTTGTGGGGAGGGGAAGGGAAAGGAGTTTGTAAGCCGCTCTGAGACTCCAAATGAAGGGCGGGATATAAATCCAATCTCCTCCTCCTCCTCCTCCATTTACCCTGTAGCTATCTTCCCACGTTTTTTCCTCTTTCCTTCTTCCTGGCCACTCCAGTATGAATATCCTTTCCTTGTTTTCTTCTCTTCTTCCCAGCCATCCACCATCTTACTTTTATCTGCCCCTCATCTTTAGCTATATATATTACTTACTTCAGTTATACCCCACCTTTCTCCATAATGGGGACCCAAAGCGGTTTACATCATTCTGTTCTTCATTTTATTGTCACACCATAACCAGTGAGGTAGGTTAGCATGAGAATGTGTTTCTGGCCCAAGGTCACCAAGCAGGCTTCACAGAGTGAGGATTCAAACTGGGTCTCTTTTCGTAATGTGAAGCTCTAACACTGAGGGCATTTGTTAAAGCTACCAGAGCTGCTTCTGTTATTTTGGGGGGTGATTTGGGGTTGGGTTTTTTTTTAAGATTTCAGATTTTTCTGCAAACCTGGGACTTTTCTCAGGTTTGAAGAAAGATCTGTCTTATGTGTTCGTGGTTTCAATGTCTGGATTAAAGTATCCACAGATTCAGCCATGTTGCAAATTGATGCATAAGAAAAGATTAACCTAAGCTCTCTGCAAAGGTAGGTACAAATATATCAAAATAAATAATGGGAGTCATCCTGTTTTTTTTTATATGTGCATGTCGATGTATGTGAGTGTGTGTGCACTTGGAAGTCATAGCGACCTCTGGTGACTGACCCTTACTAAGGGCCTGCAGGATGTTCAGAGAGGTGGATGAATAAAGCCTGCCCCCACCTCTGGTATTCCAAGGAGGTCTCCCATCCAAATACTTGCCAGGGTTGACCCTACTTAGTTTCTAAGATCTGACGAGATTGGGCTTGCCTGGGCTATCTGGGTCAGGGCTGGTAGACTTCCTGTTTTGGCAGAAAATTTATTTGGACAATCTCCTTGGAAGACTCTCACGAAGACTTCTGAATCACAGTGTGTTTGATAACATTAAATTCCCTAGGTACTATTTCCCAGATACGGTATGAGACTATCTTTATTCAAAAGAATCCCTGCACTTGCTCAGCCATTACTGCCCATTTTAAGCCAGACTGTGACCTATTACACAAGAAGGTTTTAAGAATTTAATTCCTTGTATATGTTTCTCTGTATTAGGTTGTTTGCCCTATTCTATAAATTAAGGGTATGTATTTTAAGCAAAGGGCCACATCTGATTCTTTGTGTTGTGTCCTTAAGACAAAGCTTTTGTGAACAGAAGTTCCGTAACTCTAAGGAGGATTTGTTATACAACTTGTAAGCACTGTTGAGGCGCTTGGTCTCTTGAGCTAAGGAGCCCCAGTATGGTGTAGTGGTTAAAAGCGGCAGACTCTAATCTGGAGAACTGGGTTGTACTCCCCGCTCCTCCACGAAAGACAGCTGAGTGACCTTGGGCCAGTTACAGTTCTCTCAGAGCAGCCCTTTCAGACCTCTCTCAGCCCCACCTACCTCACAGGGTGTCTGTTGTGGGGAGAGGAAGAGAAGGGGATTGTAAGCCGCTTTGAGACTTTGAGTGAAGGGTGGGGTATAAATCCAACTCTTCTTATAAGATTTGAAGCCGTGGGCATGGCACACAGTTCATTACACCACTTTTTGTGACTAAATCCAGAATTGTTCTGCTTGTTTCAAAGGCTATTTAGAAACTGACTTTGTCTGCAGTTACGATCTGTAACCGAAAAAGTGCTGTGTCTGCATTTAACTGGAGAGACGTTCCAGAGCCACGGAAGAAAGTAACTGTGTGTTCTGTTTGTAGTGAGAAAGCAGATTCCTTTGTCTTCCAGGGGCGTGTCTGAAAAGTTCTCCCTTGAAATGGGCAGAGACTACCAGGTTGCTGTGTGACTTGATTTACTATACTTGCACATCTCTCCTGTTTTGGAAAGGTCTTGCAGTTCGTATTTTCTGACGTATACAATTTTAAGATGTCATAAGGAAAGATGCTTTTGTGCATATATCTTTGGTTCAATTGCATGTGTGATTCCATGCCTTTGTGCCATGCTGACAACACTTCAAGCTGCTGCCGTAGCGGGAATTGGTTATTAGTAGAAATATCACTCATACAGAGGCCGTTGTTGACACAAATGATACCTCCACAAAACCCAGATCTGACCGGTGTTCCCTTTAAGCTGTGCGCATGAGTGGCAGTTCATTAACTTAGGGTTGCCGGGTCCTACCTGGCCGGTAGCGGGGGCTCCCGGGTCCTCTCGGGAATGTTCTGTGTGCATGGCATGATGATGTCATCATGTCGCCAATGATGGGGTTGCCGCTCTGGTTTGGAGGCAAAACTCTATGGGTTTTTTGCCTTCAACACCATAGAGTTTGCCCAAAAACTAGAGTTTCACACACACCCCAATGTCAGCGACACGATGATGTCATTTCTAGGTGACGACATTGCATGAGGGATGTCACATGGTGATGACCCTGTTTGGGGGTGGGGTTTCCCCTGCTGGCCAGCTGGCTTACAGCAGATCCAGGCCCCTAAAGGCAGGGGAACTCCCGTTGGAACTTGGTGGCTGGAGACTTTGTCATTAACACAGAAGCCCCACTCAGCAACAGTCTGCCCATTGCCCATTTTAAGATTACAGCACTTACATTCTGCTCAGGATGTGAACTGCTCCGCTCAGGAGGGAGAAAAGATTAGAAGGAACACTGGTGTCACTGTCAACCCTCTAATTGTGGGTTAGCCCTTTGGGGGCTGCCACTATGACCAGCTAACTTTCACATAAGGGCTTGTGGACCGTAGTATTATTCCGTATGATTTACAATTAACTATTAAATTAAGATGATCCTATTGATTTCCATTTTTATATTGCCTTAAGACGCCAGACCTAAGCTTTTAGTTAGATACTTCATCTTTCCAGCTGTTTTAATGGTCTCCTCTGGTCTGAGGTGTGTTTTATGGGTAGTCCTTTGCTGTTTACTTCCCATGACTTAATGGTTTGTTGTTTTCACATGCTCAATTTGTTGTTTTTATCAGAAGCTGCCTAGATATGTTTTGTAGACTGCGAGGTAGAGGCTGTAAGGAACACAGGGCACTCAGGTTCAGATCCCTACTAAGCCGGGGTGGGCAAGTCAGAGTTTGAGCCACCTCGCAGGGCCGTCAGAGAATGAAATGACTCCACGTACCCCACTTTGAGCTTGTCAGAGAAGGGAAGGGATACAGATGTGATAGGTAGGTTGCTACTTTTTCCTTGCTAAGAAAGATGTCTTCCTTTCAGAAATTTCATGAATGTCAGCTGACGTACCCTGCCTGACCAACATGGTAGACACAGAAAGCCCACTTTGTCCCCTCATTCCCTTGGAGGAGGATGATCTTGGAAGCCCTTTATCTGGAGAATTCTTACAGGACATGGAGAACATAAAGGAACTTTCTCCGTCAATAAGCGGGGATAGCTCAGGAGCGCTGAGCATTACAGATTTCCAGTCTCTGGGAAATGGACCTGGATCCGATGGATCGATCATTACAGGTGGGGATTCTGTTATTGAGAACAGATAAATCTCTATGGCATTTATTCAGATGTTTATATTGTCATATAGCCGCAATGTGTTATTTTGTGATATAAGGGGTAGTATAGTTTTATAGATCTGGTTTAGAATGTTGCTGAAATTAGATCTGGATTTCGTCTCTGTCTGCCAAGCCAAAAATAATGATAGTAAATGGAATTTGACTCTGTTGGCTATGCGAAACAAATGACGGTGAAGTGGACGACAAGAAGCCCAAGCTCCATGACCTTGTGACAATCTCTGGCATTTCCAACAGAGGCTGCTGGGGAGGTCTGGTTATGAGCGGCAACCTCAACAGCCCTTGGCCTGCTGGTCTTCTTCAGACATTATAGACCGTGTTAGCAGATTCCTTATTTGTGGCAAGCAATTTAACTCCTGGAAAGGCTGAAAAAAACTGTCAGACCTATTCATCTCCTGGCCAATACCATCCAACATAATGATGAATTCAGCAAGTTTTCACTGGAGTCTCCCTTTGAAGTTCCTTTGCCAGTTTTGGGTCTACCACATAGTCCTCCTGGATGATTGACATATTCTCCCACTTTTGAAGGAAAGCTTCCACCTTTTGTCAAATTTGTGTCTGTTTCTTCTTTGGTGCAGTGACTCACACCTAGAAGTATTTACAGTTGGGCACTCTTACAGACCCCAGTAGGACTGTTCACTCTAGCCAGAAGGGGCTGTCTGTGTAAACTGGCACCATCCATCCACATGGGGCTGTGACTGCCGCACTTTGCATGGCACCATGCCAGTGGTGGAGAGGAAGGTTTCCTGCAGTCACTCAAATCATGAAGCAACATTTCGGATGAACATGGGGTGCCAGCCTTCAAAGCGGGGCCTGGAGTCCTTCCAGTGTTGCAGCTGATCTCCGGACTACAGAGATCAGTTCCCCTTGGAGGAAATGGCAGCTTTGTTTTTGTTTTGTTTTTCATTTTTAACCTGTTTATTAAGAGGAAGTATAACATATCAAGAAATATAATAACTGCAAAACAGTATACAACTGTCCTGAAAATCCAAAATTACAAACCAACCAGTTAGTCATCAATACAGATTTTTACAACATACATCAACAGTCATAACAAACTAAGTTAGAACTAAATCAGATCACCTATTCATAGGTGCTATGTGAGCTATGAATCCCATAGAATTGAGTCAAGTTTAAAAGATAACATCTTCAGGCAGCTTTGGATGGTGGCAGCTTTGGAGGGTGGAATCTATGACTTTGTCCCCTGCTGAAGTCCCTGCCCTTTCCACACTCTGCCCTCCTCAGGTACCACCCCCAAATCTTCCAAGCCAGAGCTGGCAACCCAAGATGAACATCACACCTGCCACCTATCCATGAGCTCAGGAGGGGGCCCCTTCACGTGTCTGAAGTGCTTGTGTGGGGTCTAGAGTGAACCGCCCCGTGATTCCTAATAAATACAAGCAAAATACTGGCTGCAAGGACGTTTCCAAGGGGTAAAAGCTACGTTCCCAGGATATTTCCCGTTACTTCTTTGATTCCCCAGCTTTCAGTCAAGTAGGACTTCCTAGTCATGCTCCTAGTCTCAGAGTTGCACCACCAAACAAACAAACACCCCGTATTCTCTCCTGTTTCTGTGTATTGGCAATGACATTGACTTGGCCTTTCGGCAGCAAAGGAAGCCTCGGTCAGTTTTATTTTTAACACATTGGGAGCAGTGCTCCCTCTAAGCTGTGGAGTCTTGTGAGCAAAAATTCTACTTTGTGAGCTCCTGGCATAAAAGTTGTGAGCGAGCGATTTGGCTACTGCATAGATTAGCTTGCTCTGGAGCCATCCCTTCCTGAGCTAAGACAGAAATGTGTGAGCCAGAGGCTAAAAAACCACGAGCTCGCTCACACCAACTCAGCTTACAGGGAACACCAACTCAGCTTACAGATAACACTGATTATACTCAATGTATAAAGGATGGTAAAAGGTAATGCAAGCTTTGTCGTCAGGATCCTAACCAGTGAGGAGTCCGGAAAGGAGGAAATCCTCACTCAGTGATGAAATGAGCAAATGTTGGACTTTGAGGTCATTTGCTAACATTGTGGCGCTATGCCATGGCTCAAGGTTGCCCCTCCCCCCACAGGTGGCTGCTTCAGTTCTCTTTTCCTGCTAGGAAGTGAGCTGCAAGGCCATCCTTTTACAAGCCCTTTAAAGTATGCTACATTTAAATGCCTTCTTCCTCAAAAGGATATTGTGTGGTAGTTTTCTGACATCTGAAAAGTAAGGGGTTTTTAAACTGACCTTTCTGGGTAACTTCTGGAATGCTGCTGATTAAGAGAGTGCATTCCATAACATTTGCTGATTCCCAAAGACCCTGCCTTGATCCTTCTTAATTTGTGGCCCAAAATGTGTACCCAAAAGTCGATAAGAGAACTGATTTCTGTACTTTTCACTGCAGCTAAGTGCATCATTGCAAAGAATTGGAAAAACCAGGCTGTCCCCTCTATAGATTAATTGGTACACTAAACTAGGGGAATATCTGACTGATGACAAAATTGCTGAATGGTCCGCCCAACATAGTCTAATCAAAAATACTCACAGCCCGATGAACAAATAGAAGGTTTTGCTAGCTAAACAAAACAGGTTTATGATGCTCAGACCATGTAATCCTTGGACAAATGCCTTGTCACTATACATGTTTCATTAGGTTGTTGTCGTTCTTTAACCTTTAATTTGGATGTTATCTATAAGTTTGATACAGTTATTGTTCTTAAGTTGTTTGTTAATAAGATACTGTTTGGAAAGTTAACTTCATCTTCTTTGCTGTTACTGTATCAATATTTTTATTGTATGTTGATATTCTGTAATAGTATGAAATAAAATAAAAATAAAAGATTTAAAAAAATCAAGAGAGTGCATTCTGTAACATTTGCTGATATTTCCTTTTTTGTCCCCCCTCATCAGATTCTCTTTCGCCAGCATCAAGTCCTTCATCTGTGAATCTTGTGACAGCTCCAGGTAGCAAAGATGAACCACCTGGTGCAACACTAAACATTGAATGTAGAATATGTGGAGATAAAGCTTCCGGATACCATTACGGAGTCCATGCTTGTGAAGGCTGCAAGGTACTGTCAGCAACATCCAGGGGCTAAGTGATGCTGGCGAGTGGCAGTTGACGCCTGGACTGGCTTGCAGGAATGTGAGCGTCACAAATATGTTTCTCCTAATGAAGGCCTGCCTGATTCATAGGAAGAATTATTTTTTGCTTGCTTTTACAGAAACAACTTGTAACTTAAGTCGGGGGGGGGGGGATAAGTTCTAAAACTCAGTCATGTAGGCCCCGATTAAGAGAAACAGATTTGTGAAGACCAACTGTGAAATCCTATGCAGAGTTACTTTAGTGGCAACTGACTGAAATAAAGAACGTAGATTCTAGGAACTCCACATAGGATTGTGCTGTTAGGTGTCTAGCATTTTTGCTTGAAGATCTCTGGAAGACAGTAAATGTGTTTGGATTTGCAGCATGGGATTTCTTTATTTTCTTTTTTGTGTGTTTACTTAAAACTTACGGACCGTGGTTTGTGTGTGTTAAGTGCCGTCAGGTTGCTTCCAACATATGGCAACCCTGTGAATTAATGATCTCCAAAGTGGGTTGCCAACTCTGACCTGGGAATTTCCTGGAGATTTGGGGGCAACGCCTGGGGTGGGCAGAGTTGTGAAGGGAATGTGTTGACACTCTAGGATGTCTTTTTCTTCTAGCCTCTATGGTATGCCATAGAGTTCAACCTGCCAAGCTGCCATTTCTTCCAGAGATCAATTGTTAATTCCAGGAGAACTCCAGCCCTCAGCTGGAAATTGGCAACCCGATCTCCAAAAATGTCCTATCATTAACAGCCTTGCTCAGGTCTTGCAAATTGAGGGCCTTGACTGAATCAATCCATCTCATGTTGAGTCTTCCCCTTTTCCTACTGCCTTCAACTTTTCCTAGAATTATTGTGTTTTCCAGCAACTCTTGACTTCTGGGAATATGAACAAAGTATGATAATCTCAGTTTAGTGATTTCACATCCTAGGAGAAGAGTTCAGACTTGATTTGATCTAGGACCCACTCGTTTGTCTTTTTGGAGGTCCATAGTATCTGTAAAACTCTTCTCCAACACCACATTTCAAATGAATCAACTTTCTTCCCGTCAACTTCCTTCATTGTCCAACTTTCACACCCATACATAGTAATGGGGAATACTATGGCATGAATTAACTTGATCTTGATCACCAGTGACACATCCTTACTCATGGTTTACATGAAATATAGGTTTTGTTCCTGAAATATAGTATACACAAATATATGTTGGGTTGCTGTGCCTATTTTTATTTGAAAATTGTGAATTAGAAAAGAAAACAGCCTTGCTGTGAATACACAGTCAGGAATAGATACAGAGTGAATTGGATGAGAAGCTAGTCTGTTGCAGTATCTGAACACCACTCTGTGTGATATTTCTGTAATTTGCACAGTAGTTTCAGTGTGTATAAAGCTATTCTTGGTTTTTCTCAGCGTGTTTTCGTATGGGTGCTGTTGTAATGAATGGTGAGCAACTGTGGATGCATTCAGTTGGCAACGAGTTATGAAATGAGTGTTGGGAGAGTTTTGCTGACAAAAACAGTTGCAAGAATTGGACTAGGGCAAAATAACAAGGCCACTCCCTGGAGAAGAGCCATGAGAGATAAAAGATTGGGAACTGGAAGGTGCCTGCACAACATTGGGAAAGACGAGAGATGTGCCCAGCCTTTATTCCATGAGAAGCACCTGCCACGTGTTTCCTATGTGAGCTCGGAGACCAAGCTCCTAAGAATCAAAAACATCAAAAAGTTTAAGCTGAAGTTTCAAATGTGTTGAATGAGCCTTGATTTTATTTTTTGTTTTTTTTAAAAAAAAATATTTATAAGTTTATAAACACTTACAAGAAAATAAACATATACAAAAGTAAATATACATTAGAGTCTATTGTTTTGTTCTTTCTCTATCCACTGATACAGTCCCGGCCACCTTTTTTCAAAAATCTTTTCATCCTTCCCGCATAGTAATACATTCAGTTCATCACCTTCTGCTCCATTCATTAATTTACATATTAATTCTTCTCTTTGAAGTATTTTGTCTGATTTCCAGTATTTAGCCCAAAGGATTCTTGCTGCCGTCAAAATATATATCATCACATATGTTTCGTTATCGTCAAACTCCTTTGGGATCATATTTAACAAGTAAATTTTAGGTTTAAGTGACAAATCTACATGTACTACTTCTCTTATTATTCTCTGAATTTTCTTCCAGTAGTTTTGGATTTTTACACATCGCCACCACATATGAAAAAATGAGCCTACATTGGTTTTACATTTCCAGCAGTTACTTGAGCAATTTGGGAAACATTTTGCGATCCTTTCCGGAGGCCAGTACCACCTATGAAGTATTTTAAACACATTTTCTTTAAATGGAATAGCTCTCATACATTTAGTCATTTTCCAAATTTTAAACCATTCATCCATTTCAATACAATGTCCTAAGTCTCTCGTTCAGGATAACGTCGTAGATCTAACAAGGTCATCCTTTTTTTTTTTTAAAGAAAATTTTTAATTTTTTATTGGATTTCCAATCAAGTTTACATACAAGTCAAGTTTAGTTTATTGTCTTAGCCATTGGCCATAACAAGTTTACATACACATCAATTACAAATTTACCTAGACATTAATCTCAATAATAATAAAATATACAATTCCAACTATAACAGATCACCACATAGGTCATATGTATCTTATACAACTATTAATCCTAACAATCATTTGGCACATTATTAATTATGGCACCATAAATGTAATAAATCTATAATATCGGGGATTTCTTTCTGTTGCTTCAAATACTGTAATATAGGAGACCACATCACAGAAAAATTAGATCGTGTTCTTTGAGAGTAGGAATCATTAACACTCTGTAATTCTCGCCTTTACATACATATTTCATAGCTTAGCATGCTAGTTCTGTTTATTTGGTCTCTGTTTACTTTTCCACTGTAGAGCAACAGCATTTTTAGCCGCTGCTAAAAGAATGGCAATTTGCTGTTTCATACTCTCTACTGGTATATCTATACTCCATTGATGAAAAAGAAGATGTTCTTGCAATTTTATACCAGATATTTGCTCTATGGTTAAAATTATCTCATCCCAAAAGGGTATCAAAATAAGACATTCCAGCAAGGTCATCTAACACATAATTATTTTATCATTTGATGAAAGCCAAATTTTGTCCAATTCATTTTTATCATCATAAAAACCTATTGACAGATCTTTATTGTATATGGTCTTTAATTGTATATTCTCCCACCAGGTTAATTTAACATCATGTTTTTTAAGGAGCAATTCTTCTGTTTTTAATTTATTAGCTTTGTCTAACAATATTTCATAAGATTTTTTATTGAACTTTGTAATAAGTGTTGATTTAACAAAAGCTTCCAAAAGAGAAACCCATCTAGGAATTTTTTTGTAAAAAATTTCTTTTATCTTATTCCATATATTAATTAATGCATCTCTTAATAAATGATTCTTGAAGGTGGAATGGATCTTATCTTTTCCGTACCAGGTATACACATGCCAACCCATTGTTAAATCATGACCTTCTAAGGACAAAACTCTTTCAGTTCAATCCAATCTTTATCCTGGAAAATCCTAAAGATTCGGTTATCCAATTATTGGAAGTAATAAGCGATTATGGACAAGCGGCTGATTTAAAAATTAACTTTAAGAAAACCAAATTGTTAACGAAAAACTGTACACCAAATACAATCAAAGAAATCCAAGAGATTACATCAATGGAAATTGTTTAAAAAGTTAAATATCTAGGTATAATGCTCCGTGCAGACCTCCAGCATCCCAGAAGTAACACTTCAGACAGACCTTGACAAACTTTCTTTAGCTGTAGAAGCCAGGTCAAAAAATCTGTGGGCCAGACACATATTTCAGCTTTGACAGTTGTGTATGACTATATATTTCTAACTATTTGCTACCACAAAAAATACTAGGTGCGTAATGAAGTTTCTAAGCACCATGGCAACCTAACTTCTGGGATTTGTCTTCATATAAGCAAATCATCTTAGGCTAGTATAAATCAAGGGGCAAAGTCTTGTGACTGGTCTGAAATGCCAGATTCATAGCATAGGTAAGATCCAGAGACTGACAACTGTTTTTAAGAGGGCTGAAAGCGGTGTGAAAGAAGCTCCATTTCCCATGAGGTTATTGTGTACTTTTTGTTCCATTAGAACAAAGTTTGAGTCCAGTGGCACCTTTGAGACCAACAAAGTTTTATTCAAGGTATGAGCTTTTGTGTGCATTCACACTTCCTCAGATACGATGAAACAGAAGTTAACAGTCCATTCATACAGGCGGAGGGTGAACAGCAAATTAGCATAGAACATAATGAAGATGTTTGAACAGATGCAAAAACCAAACAGCAATAACAAACTAAGTTTATAAGGTCACCATTTGTTTGGCTTTAATTACAGGGGGAAACACAGTGAAGCAAATATATATGACAAAATAGGAAGTAAAGGTAAAGGTTTCCCTTGCTTGAAAGCCAGTTGAATCCAACTCTAGGGGGTGATGCTCATCTCTGATTCCAAGCCGAAGAGCCAACACTGTCCGAAGATGTTTCCGTGGTCATGTGGCTGACATGACTAGATGCCAAGGCGCACGGAACGCTGTTACCTTCCCACCAAAGTGGTACCTATTTATCTACTTGCAATTTCTTTCAAACTGCTAGGTTGGCAGGAGCTGGGACCAGAGACAGGAGCTCACTCCGTCATGCGGCACTCGGGTCTCAAACTGCTGAACTACTGACCTTCCAGTCTGCAGTTCAGTGTCTTAACCACTGGGCCACTGCAGCCCCTCAAAATAGGAAACTAATGTGTAAATGTATCCTTTTTAATTATGGAATGCTAAGAGTAATTAACTGAGATCCTGTTACATTCCATTTGTCTCCTCTCAAGCATGGAGGTAACTAACAGCATCCTCTTCTTTGAAGTGGGGTTAATGGTTGCACAGTGTTATGTCTCCTATGTCACCAGATCACAGAAATACATTCCAATATTCATTTCATTACATTACAATCACTATTCCAATCTACTATTTCAAATAAGAAATACACGAAAATAAAGAGGATGTATAGCCCTTCATGGCAGGGCCGGCTCACTCACTAGGCGAACTAGGCGATCACCTAGAGCGGGATGGCCCTTAGGGGCACCAAACTGCACCCGGCCCCGTACTCTGGGAGTTTCTTGATTATTTGTGTTTTTCATTCTTCCTAAAATGCATTTATTTTTGAAAATTGGTGGGCGCATGGGGGGGGGGCAGAAAGGATCCTCGCCTAGGGTGCAAAATAAGCTGGAGCCGGCCCTGCTTCTTGGTGAGAATACATATGTAAGGACTGAATGAGTTTACCATATGTAGTTAGATAAGAAACCAATATCCCTGTTAAGTCCGGGGGGGGGGATTGTTCCAAGTGTTGTAATAACCTGTAATTCAGCAGTTTCCCTTTCCAGTCCGCTCCTGAAGTTCCTTTACAATAAAACAGCTACTTTGAGGTCACCCACTGAATGTCCTGGAAGTCTGAAGTGTTCTACAGGTTTCTCAATCTTGTGATTCTTGATGTCAGATTTGTGTCCATTTATCCTTTGGCATAGGGTTTGATCTGTTCGCCCTCTGTAGAGAACCAAAGGGCATTGTTGGCATTTAATGGCTTATACAGTGTTAGAAGATGAGCATGTGAATAAGCCTAAGATGGTGTAGTTGATGTTGTTAGGTCCAGTGATTGTGTTGTCTGAGTTTATGTGGCAGCAAAGTTGGCATTTGGGTTTACTGCAAGCTCTGGTACCAGTGTCCATGTTCAAATTAGATTTTACATTATTGTGGGTGAGGAGTTGTTTGAAACTGGGGGAGCTGTCTGTGTGCAAGAAAACATCCCCCCCCCAACCTCTGAAAGAGAACTGTCATTATCCAGTAGAGGTAGTAAGTCACTGATGATGCATTTAACTGTTTTGAGTTGAGAGCTGTATGTGACCACTAGTGGTGTTCTGTTATTGTCTCTTTTGGGCATGTCTTGCAACAGGTTTTCTCTGGGTACCATTTGTTAATCTGTTTCCCGTCTTCATCAGGTGGATGCTTTAGCTCCAAAAAGGTTTGATGTAGATCCCTCAGGTGAGAATCTCTGTCTGTAGGACTGGAGTAGATGCAGCTGTAGCATAGAGTCCGGCTGTATACAATGGATCGTTTGGTATGTTTAGGATTGTAGCTGGAGGTATGTTTGTCGGTCAGTAGGTTTCCAGTATAAGGTGGTGTCTATGTGTCCACTGTGTATTTTTTTACAGTAGTGTCCGTAAAATGTATTTCTTGCATAGATTGGTTCATTGTCAGGTTGATGGAGGGGTGAAAGTCATTGCATGCCTGGTGGAATATGTCCAGGGTTTCTTTACCATAGTCCGGACAATAAAAATGCCATCGATGTAACGCAGGTATAAGAGAGGTATGAGTGGGTGGGAGTTTAAGAAGCATTGCTCCAAGTTGGCCATAAAGATGTCAACGTACTGTGGCTCCACCTCTGTCTGCCTCTTTAACTTGTTTGGTCTTCACCTCTGTTGCATCTTCTTTGTTGTTCGCCCTCTGTCTATATGTATGAACTGTTAACTTCCATTTCAGTGTATCTGAGGAAGTGTTCATGCACATGAAAGCTCATACCTTGAATAAAACTTTGTTGGTCTTAAAGGTGCCACTGGATTGAAACTTTGTTTTTTACTGCTTCAGACCAACACGGCTGCCTGCCTGGATCTATGTTTTCATCCCATTGCTGTCTTTAATGACATACATTTTGCAAAGTTGCATTTTAAATATTTTAGCCTGCTTTTTCTCCTGCACTGGGAACCCAAAGCAGTCTACAAAATTAAATGTGTATATAATATAAACAAAAATATACAGCCCAACATCCCCCCCCCCAGTACAATCTCAGAGCTTTGGATCAGTGTTCTCTCTAATCTGTGCAAGTGAGCGGCAGCTCATTAATACAGGAAGCCCCATTCAGCAGCAGTCTGGAGCTGTGCAGGATCTTGCACTGCCCATTGCCCAGTTTAAGATTACAGCATAAGAACATAAGAGAAGCCAATGCTGGATCAGGCCAATGGCCCATCCAGTCCAACACTGTCACACAGTGGCCAAAAATACCAGGTGCCATCAGGAGGTCCAGCAGTGGGGCCAGGACACCAGAAGTCCTCCCACTGTTGCCCCCCCCCCCAAGCACCAAGAATACAGAGCATCACTTGCCCCTTGTGGCTAATAGCCACTGATGGACCCCTGCTCCATATGTTTATCTAATTCCCTCTTGAAGCTGTCCATGCTTGTAGCCGCCACCACCTCCTGTGGCAGTGAATTCACAGGTATATTTTGCTTAGGATGTGAACTGCTCCACTCAGTAGGGGAAAAAATTGAGAGAATATTGCTTGTGGCGAGTCACAAGGACACCCTGGCTAGTACCAGTTGCACCAGCACAGCTGACACGGGGCCAGAGATTGTGGGCCGTAGGCTCAGATCTAAGGGCAAAGAGTACCTTTTGGCTTGTGGCGCTCTACAAACTTGGGTTTTAAATTCTTGCAAAGGGGGGAGGGAAGCTATAATAAAAACCTGTGAAACCTTTTTATTAGGAGTGACAGTGGGATGAGTGTAAACATCATGAGCCGTGTTCTGCCTTTCAATCTGACTTGAATTCCTGGGGGAGGGAAACTATTGTACATTTGCAGTATGAAATATAACAGCAATCTAGAATAGCAGTGCTACAGTTTATCAAAATCCCGAGAGCCGTGATGTGCTAGATATTCTTGCTGCTCTTTTATGGGTAAGCATGTTCCCTGCATCAGCCAAAAGCCTGTTTGCCGGTGAAAGTTCACACATGGTCCTTTTGGATTCCACTCATAGCCTTTCCGGGAAAGGTGTACTTTAAACTTCAGAGCTATGTTATCAAACAACATTTAAATTACTTGTTATGTAATAGGTATTGTGTGAGGACACGTAAGCACATGCTCAAAAATATTCGCCATAGACTTTCGTGACATATTAATGCTTAACTTGTTTTTTGCATAATGTCTCTTCCTGCTGCTATTAAATCATGTAGCTGGCTGGTGAACAAAAGGGGGGGGGAAGTCTTTTGTAGGTAAAATGTAAAATGTGTTTAATGTTGAATGGTGCTCACTAATCTTCTTCAAATTTTTCACAGGGTTTTTTTAGGCGAACAATCAGACTAAAGCTGGTCTATGATAGATGTGACCGCAGCTGCAAAATTCAGAAAAAAAATCGTAACAAGTGCCAATACTGTCGTTTCCAAAAGTGCCTTTCTGTTGGAATGTCTCATAATGGTAGGTAAGAATGACTATATATTTTTTTACCTCCACCATGACCCAATGGGAATAGGTGACATCAGATAACATGTACATTCACTACAGATTGTCTTTAAAACCAGTATCAATGCCCACTTAAGTGTAGCGCATATTTGTAGGGCCTATTTGGTAGTAGTGCCTACATAGCGCATATTTGGTTGGATCCCAAGGTGCCCTACCACTTGAGCCATATGTGGAAGGGCTATTTTACGACTTGTACTAGGGTGTTGCCTGAGAAAAGTTGAAACTGGAGATCTTCTATTTGCCAAACCTCTCAGGGTGATTCTCCATTGGCTTTTCCCTCCATTGTTTTATGAAACCTACATTGGAACAGAAATTCCCCTCTGCGTTGCATGCTGCTTTCACTTTCTTTGATCATCAGATTTTATGGTACCTTCTGCATAGATTTATGGCTGTTCAGGGATGACTTTGCAGTCAGTACAGCGTTGCCCCAAGGTATTTGAATGTGGTTTTGAGCTGCGCTTTTTCCTCCTGGTTGAGAAAATGTGGAGCGGATGTCAGATTCAGAATTGCCCTCAGCCAGGCGAAGGATAGTGTTGCACATATTTGGAGTGCAACAGCTTGCCCAGCCGCACTAGTGGCTGCCTTCCTTCAGCTCACCATTTTCCATTAGGAGAAGCTGAATTTCAGGGGTAAGTGTACCCAGTAAGTTCTACCCTTACTGAGCTGCATAGCTGCCATAGCATGAGAAAGCAAAAGGAGCAGAATTCCCTACAGTCAGCCATTGAACACTACAATGGAGAGTAGACTTGAGAAATACCTGGAGATTTCGGGGGGTGGAGCCTGAGGAGGGTGGGGTTTAGGGAGGGGAGGGACTTCAGTGGTGTATAATGCCATAGAGTCCACCTTCCAAAGTGGCCATTTTCTCCAGGTGAACTGATCTCTGTCACCTGGAGATTAGTTGTAATAGCAGGAGATCTCCAGCTGCCCCCAGGAGGTTGGCAGCCCTAATTAAGAGTCACGGAACTAGTATAAAAGAAAGTAATAACGAAACAGTACCTTATACAAGTTATTCTAGTGGAAATGCATTATTTTTGTAGTTCCTATGGCAGGTAAAGGTGCCCGCAGTTTTGGTCCTCTGCTGCCTTGCGCAGTAGCACAGAGTGGCGTTTGCCTTGCTGTCTGAGTGCCGGAATAATAAAACTGAGTGTTTATTTTGGGGTGAGCTATCCTTATTTCTCTTAAGAGATGGATGTGCCATACTCAGCTCTCAGGGCGATGAGCAAGAACTCTAAAATCCAGCAATAAAATGCCTGCAGTGGTTTCCAGAACATAGCAGCATGGCAGGTCACCAACGCAGCCAACTAAAGCAGAATCAGAGTTTTGAATCTCATTGCCATAAGGAGGAAGGGTGTCAGCTATTCTTAGCCGTTATACTAAACTCACCTTATAACATTTTGCCTTCAAGTTTCTTTGTGTGTTGGAAGTATCTGATAAGTGATATGACATGCCTTTTATAAACTAACCTTCCCTGTATGACTGGACTGGCATTTCTGTCTCTGTCATAAAGAACCTTTTGCTCACCTCATTCGTCTGAACAGAATTTAACAGCAATACTTGAATTTATATAGTGCTTCACTGGGTTAATTCTGTATCCCCCTACTTTCTCCAAAACATTTGTTTATTGTTTACTCGTGGGTCCCCCACTGCTAGGTCCTGCCTCCCTGCCGCTGATCAGCTGGCCAATTGGGGGGGGACTTACTCCAAAAAAGAGGAAGATCCATCCAATGTACAGTGACATGCCTATGTCACTACCCACATGACCCAAAAGTGACATCATCACATCCGGTATTTCTGGTATTTGGGTAAAAACTCTATGGTAGAATCCAAATTTACCATAGAGCTTTTGCCCAAATACAAAAGTGTCACCTTTGACTTCCCGGACTTGATGATGTCACTTCTGGGTCACATGGGAAGTGACATGCACACATCGCTGTACATTCGATGGTTCTCCTTGCTGCTCCCAGTAAGTCCCTCCCATCCCCCACCAGGAGGGACCTGGCAACCCTGTTCACTCATTTGGATTTCTAATGAGCCTGACCACAAGCAGCTGAAGCTTGCAACAAATTTGAAAATAATATGAAACTTGGAATGTAGAAGTATTAAAAATAACATGGAAAATAACCCTCTTTTTTTCCTCTGATTGCTAAATACTTGTCCAAATGGGAAGGTCTTGCTACTTGTGCAAGGGAGTCCCAGATAGCTACAGAAGGCCTTCTCTGTATGTCTGAGTTCCTTGTTTTGGGCACCACTTTCAACAGACTATAGCGATCACAGTGGAACTTTGACACAGGTGACCTCAAGTGTATGTTACAACTAAGCAGTTTTTGCAGGTTAAAAACAGCATATTATTCCAAGCAGGGGTCATTTTGTAAAAAAAGAGGTGCAGGAGCTCATTTGCATAACTTATTTGCATACCTTATTTGCATATGCCACACCCCCTGACATCACCAGAAGTGTGTCAGAAGGCAACACCCACTGCTCAGGCTCCACTGGACTGTTTTTGGATTGCTAGCTATGCGGGTGGGGGGGGGGGGGGGGGGGGGGGACGTGCAGATCTGTCCTTGCAGAGGAGGGAGAGCTTGTACCTGAATAAAACTTGGTCTTAAAGGTGCCACTGGACTGTTTTGGACTGGGGAGCTCTGCAGCTTACCTGGCTGCTTCTTGCTCTGACTGAGGGCTGCTGGGAGCAGGGGGTGGAGCTTGTTGCATGTGCCCGCCCCCTGGGCTCTTTACTGCCGGAGCTCCGATCCTGTGCGCTCCTGCAGGAAATGACCCCTGATTCCAAGACTACTAAAGGAGATCTGTGCAGATGTAGAGGTCAGGAGAAACTCTCCCAGAGGTTCACACCGTTGAAGGAGTTTCTGAAGGAGTCTTTTCCCTTTGAGGTGATATGTGCAGAGCATAGGTTGGCTACACCAGATTAGGAAAATTGGCAAATTTCCACCACGTGCCTAAATCTTGGAAGAACAATTCTGGCATTTGTTTAGGAAATTTTTATGCCGCCTCTCCAGGAAACCTGCCTGAGGCAGCTGACAAATTAAAAATAACAAAAGCAAGCAGTATGAATTAAAATCCAGCATTAAAAACCCAGAAACATAGACCACAAAAACAGACCACCGCCAGCTTAAAACGAGTGGCCAGACTAAAATAGTGTTAGAAATTCAACACCTTAATTAAAAGTCTGGCTTTTTAAAAACAAAAGGCTATGTTTTGCCCCGGTGCCTAAAAGAAAGCAATATTGATACCAGGTGAGTCTCAAGGGGAAGAGCATTCTAAAAGCAAGGTGCCGCTAATGAAACGGCCCTGTCTCTGGTTGCCACCTGCCTGGTCTCTGAAGGTGAGCGCACAGGGAACAGGGTTTGTGAGGCAGGTCTTCACTGGCAGGCTGGACAATATGGGCGGAGGTGGTCCTTCAAGGACATCTTGGGCCTGAGTTAGGATTGCCAGCTCTGGGTTGGAAAAAACTGGAGATTTTGAGGGGTGGAGGCTAGGGAGGGTGGGGTTTGGGGAGGGGAGGGGAAGGACCTCAACAGGGTATATAATGCCATAGAGTCCACCCATCAAAGCGGCCATTTTCTCCAGGGGCACTGATCTTCGTCACCTGTAGATCGGTTGTAATAGCAGATCTCCAGGTGCCACCTGGAGCTTGGCAACCCTAGGCCTGATGTTGTATTGGCTAGATTTAGGTTTAATTTTTTGAAAATTTTCGCAGCAGGTGCTAGGATCCTGCCGTGTTGTTGCAGTGTCTAACTGTTGAACAAAAATATGTTGTTGTACAATTTATCTACGTGTTTCCCCCTCCTCAGCCATCCGATTTGGACGTATGCCAAGATCAGAGAAAGCAAAACTGAAAGCTGAAGTCCTGACCGGTGAACACGGTGTAGAGAATTCTGAAATGGCAGATCTCAAATCACTTGCCAAGAGGATTTATGAAGCCTATTTGAAGAACTTTAATATGAACAAGGTGAAAGCCAGACTCATCCTTGCGGGGAAAACCAGTAACAATCCAGTAAGTAAGCGAGACAACTGGTGAACTGAAAATACACGTAAAACGAAGAAATAAACTTCTGTTTTCTGTACAGAGACAGTGTGCTCTTCTTGCTTAGACAGCCTATCGGTGCAGATTCGTAACAGGTAGAGAGTTCAGTGAGGTTTGCCATTCTCATCTGTAGCAGCTAATAACTGTTTTGTGCCTGGTAAAAAAGCCTGTGGACAGTAAGGGGACAAGTAAGCTTGTGGACAATAAGGGCCATATGTATTGCAAAAGAGAAGGAATGTACTTATCACAAAATAGGGATGCTAGCTTCCAGGTGGGACCTGAGGATCCCCCGGAATTACAGCTCATCTCCAGACTACAGAGATCAGTTCCCCTGGAGAAAATGGCTGTTTTGGAGGATGAACCCAATGGCCCTATGGCATTGTACCCCACTGAGGTCCCTGTCCTCCCCAGGCTCCACCCCCAAATCTCCATGAGCTTCTCAACCTGGATCTGGCAACCCTGTGCCCCGATCCCCCCACTAGTGGCCAGCGAGGGGTGGGAAACCTGGAACCCCTATCAGAAAACTTTGACTAAGCGGTCAGATTATTTGAAGGTAATGGTGCCCTGATCAAGCAACATTTTTTAAAAAAAAGATTATCTCAGTATAAATACTTAGAAAACTGCTGATCTCAGCTGCTCTTAGAGGTTTTCCCCATTGTGTCTCACAGAGGAAGAAATGCCTCTTAACACACAGTGCCTTCTCTGACCTGTGTGTACTGTCAAACGAAAGATTTCTTCAGGATTAGTGTTTCATTCATGCTGATTTAAGCAAATGACCTTCTGGCTGCTCCCGATGATAGGCAAAGGTATATGGTTTTTCTGGTCATTTGGGCTGTAAGATTTCCTTAGGGCTGACTGCACCTGAAGTTTGGAAACACTGGCAGTATGAGCTAATAGTGTGCAAGTTAATTAATTGATTGCCAAATAGTTGGATGTTGGTAGAGGAGTCGGCTTCTATAATTGGGAAATCCTCACAGCATCTGTTTTGCAGAGTTCCCATTAAGACAGACTTGGCATTGAGACCTGTCCTGGAACAGCTGCCCTAGGTATAAATGATCACTCAGTGGGTTTGGATGGCAGGAGGCATAAAAGGGAGTCGATCAAAGAGGAAAGGGAGAGCGATCACTCCCTCTTTTCCTTGGAGGTCTGTCGACGTGTATGTTTGGCACCAGGAACCACCTTTCTCTGTGATAATGGCAGACCCTAAATGAAATAAGCAAGCAAGTAAATGCTTAGGATGGAGAGGAAAACTGGTGGATGATGTTGCAGCCACTTGTAACTCACATGCTTAATTGGTTGAAACTGAAAAAGTTCTTACCTTTGCTGGGCTTCAGTATTTTCAGTACATTCCTTTAGTATTTTCAGTACATTCCATTGGGAGACAACTAAGGTCAAATCTGCATTTGCATTTTTAAATCCGTTTTGTGCTGCTGTGATGCCGTCTTTCTCTATGCTTGTTTGAATGTTGTTTGGAGAAGATTCTTTTAAAGCAGTGCGGAGGTGCAATGACAGTGGAGCCGCCCCGAAAGGGCGATAACCATATGCGGATGTGTATGCACTGTTGAGGTGCGAAAACGACACCAAATGTAGACAGCTTTTTTGAAGACGGAGTCAAAAGGCTGGGACACCGGTGGGAAAGACAAATGCAGGTTTGGCCTAAGTATGGTTGAATCTCAGGGGTCAACAACATATTACCTTTCTTCACTTGTTTACATTTGTTTTCTTGTGCTTCTTGTTTTGTTTTGTTTTGTTTTGTTTTCGAAGGAGAACCCAAACAGGCTCAGAACAGTGCCATGGGGAAGGAAAGGGCTCCTGCCTCCCCCCTCCCCGCTCCAGGCTGGGAAATACCTAGAGATTTGGGGGGGGGGGTGGATCCTGAGAAGATCAGGGATTGGAGACCTCAGCAGGGTATTATGCCGTAGAGTTCACCTTCCAAGGGGACCGTTTCCTCCTGGTGAACTGATCTCTGTCACCTGGAGATTAGTTGTAATGGCGGGGGAACTCTGGCCACCGCCTGGAGGTTGGTGACCCATCCAGAGCAGCAAAATAATGCGCATACACACATGGCAGTGCAGTTTTCAGACAAAAAAACTGCTGGGGAGGGGAGGCAGGAGCCCTTGGCCAAGCCTGAACAAAAAGTGTAAACAGATGAAGAAAGGTAACATGTAATTGATCCCTCATTCAGTCCGTTTTAAGTGGGTTCAGGTTACGCTGGCCATTCCCAAAGAAACTTCCCCCCAGTGGTGAGAGGTGTTTATACTGTGATCTTTCGTGAGTCACGGCTCACTTCTTCTGTTAGTCTGTAAGCCGCTACTGGATTCTTGTTCCTTTCTATTTCTACAGACAGACAAACACGGCTACCCATCTTGAACCTTCTGCACAATATAGGCCATTTTGTAATATCTTTTATACACTGGAGGGAATTGGCAAAACATTTCTGCTTCTTTCAAACAGTGTTGTGGTATGGGTTTTTTTTTAAAAAAAATCTTGTAAAGTCTTTAGAAAGTGACCCTTTTCCATCTCTGCTCTTTCAAATATTACATGCAAGAACAGGAGGAATGGAAACGGTACCTGAATGAATACTGATGCAGAACTTAGCAGTAGCATGGCTGTTCTAGAGGTCCAGGTGTCTCAGCTTCTCACCCGCATAAAGCTACAGCAGACAGTTTCTCATTCCCTTTAGGAATATTGACAAGTGAAATAAATGGTTTCCTAAGTTAAGCTTTAAAATGTAAAGGACATCCCAACCTTCTGTGGTGAGCAGATAAGACTGTATTTAAAGAGACTTACAAAGTTCTATTCAAAGTATAAGCTTTCGTGTGCAAGCACACTTCATCACTGGACTCAGACTTTGTTTTGCTGCTTCAGACCAACCTGCCTACTGCTACCCACCTGAATCTTTAATAGGACTGTGTGATTATGTCTGTAAGCAAATGCATGGAGGGTGGGAGAAATCCACTGGAAGTGTCACTTCCGTAATGCTATCAAAATTCTAAATATTTTTGGCACCATTAGGTTAGGGATCCCCCATCTTCCGTGGTGTCATATTAACCTACGTTCTGGAGAGAACTCTTTAAGAAGGGGTGTGAAGCCTAGTGGTCATAATGAAAGTACTGTCTTAAAACATTTACAAACATCTTTCTTTGTAGCCATTTGTTATACATGACATGGATACGTTATGTATGGCAGAGAAGACGCTCGTGGCAAAGCTGGTGGCCAATGGAATCCAGAACAAGGAGGCTGAAGTTCGAATCTTCCATTGCTGCCAGTGTACCTCGGTCGAGGCTGTAACGGAACTTACCGAATTTGCCAAATCTATCCCTGGCTTCTCAAACCTAGACTTGAACGATCAGGTGACGCTGTTGAAATACGGGGTTTATGAAGCCATTTTTGCCATGTTAGCTTCTGTAATGAACAAAGACGGGATGCTAGTAGCCTACGGAAATGGTTTCATCACTCGAGAATTCCTCAAAAGTTTAAGGAAGCCATTTTGTGACATTATGGAGCCAAAGTTTGAATTCGCAATGAAATTCAACGCAATGGAGCTGGATGACAGCGACATCTCTCTCTTTGTGGCCGCCATCATTTGTTGTGGAGGTAAGATTTAAATTGCTTTAAAAAAAAAAAAAAAGCTTACATCCTTCTCTGACCATCAAAGAAACTCATAGTGGTTTACAGGGAAGTAAAAAGCAATATAAGCCATCATCACCTTTTAAAAAGATAAGAGATTGCTCTTGGGTAAAGGAATACCTCTTTAGCTGGCTCTAGAAATTTCACACCTTGTCAGCCAATTTTGGATCTTTTCCTGTTCTAATGGTGGAACCTTCCATTTCCAAAGGTTTTTTTTACTTTCATTAAATTGTGCCAGAACAATTGGTTTCTGTCCTCGTAATCATGTTATCACTCTGCTTTTACTATAAGCGTTTTTAAAGTAAGACTTTCTGTTTAGTATGGTTAAGAGTTATAATCCAAACAACAGCATAGCAATAGGTGGTAGGAATTTGGTTAAAAGCTCATTTGGTTCAGTAATAGGTGGTAACATTTTTGTTGGAAGCTCATTTGGGTGAGTATTGCTTTCATGTTTTATTTTCCCTTTAAAACTTGTTTACATTGTACAGAGTTTGTTCATATTTTTAAGTTATGATGAGGAAGAGGGAGAATGGGCACTAGACCAGGGGATAGGCAACATTTTTGGGCCAAGTGTGTGGGGGAAATTGCACTGTCTTCCTGTGAAGGTGTCCTGGTAGATAGAATGGAGGTGGTATGGGTTGTACATGGCCCATGGGTTGTACAAACCAAGCCCCAGTGGGACTGCAGCATCGCTGACCTTGGCTGATGGCTGTGCAGGTCTGGGTGATGGTGACAGGCATGAGCCGTGCCCTGCGGCCATCTCCTGCACCGCTGGACCCTGCAGTACCGGCACCTTAGCAAAATGGTCTGCTATGCCGCTTGCCTACTCTTGCATTAGACTGTGGGGCAGTCCCACCGCAGGGCTTACTCTATGGCTAGATGGTATATACTCCCCTCTGTGGTAGTGGAGGGACGTTATAGGAAGATCCCATTAGCAGAGAGGGTTTGCCCATGTGGAGCAGAGAAGGTCGAGACAAATGAGCATATTTTGCTTCACTTCCGTTTCTACCAGGAAATGCTTGCGAAGATTATTGCACCCTTGCTTGGGAGGTTTTCTGCCTGCTCTGAATCTGAAATTACCAGGAAGTTCCTTTCAGACATAAATCCTCAGCTCACACTCCCCTGTGCCAGATTTCTTGCAGCATCATGCAGAATCCGCAGGGAATTAACACGGAATGTAGCTGAATCATAAAATGTAGATGTTTTGTTCAATGTTTTGTTCAATCTGTTTTGTGATTTTAAGAATGCATAGGCCATTCAGTAATTTTAAATATTGCGTATTTCCTAAAACTTATTAGATTCATTTACATTGTTGTAACTGATCTTGTGCTGGTCACGAACCGTAATAATAAATTTGATTTGATTTGACTGTGGGGCAAGAAAATAAAGAGATGCACCAGTCACAGGAGATAAAAAATAAGGCCAAGGCTGATGGTGCAAAATCAGGTAAAAATATACTTTATTACTCAATTGAATTTCCAAAAATTCCCTACGCGTTTCGCCAACAGGCTTTGTCAAGGGAATTTGTAATATCTAACAACAACACTGAGCTTACATAAGTGTAGTTAAAATGATACAAATAAGATATTGTCTTAAAATTTGAAATCCAGATCCTAAAAGCCAGTCAGCGCAATGCATAGGGAATTTTTGGAAATTTAATTGAGTAATAAAGTATATTTTTACCTGATTTTGCACCGTCGGCCTTGGCCTTATTTTTTTTTATCTCCATTAGACTGTGGGGCACATTTCAACATTCTGTTACCAAAACGTCCACTGAAGCCACGTACATTCGGTATAGTGATCTCCTGTTAAGGCATGATTGCCACTAAGAGGTTGCGTAGAGTCATTTATTCTATACAGCATCCACAGCTTAAAATTTTCTCCTTTTAGGTCACTCTTCTTCACCCAATAAACACGTAATTTATTAAATCACCATTCTTGTTACACACAGGGTAATATGGTCTCTTATAATTAAGTCACTTCTGGTGCTCCCGGTGGCTTTATTCAGATAATCACCATCTGAACATTGTCCCGAAGCTATGCTTAAGCCAGTGAGCAACTGAGTTTCACTGCAGACTTCTTTGACGTTTGACTAAATTGTTAAAACAGTTACAGTTTCCTTGAAGCTTTGAAGATATCCCAGTAAATCTTTGGCTGGATCATGCCTATTCTCATAATCTAGGTGCCGTGGATTTCATTGAGAGGGGTATAGCAGTGCTTAAATCACTCCCACTCAAATGAACAAGGTGAAAAAGTAGAACAACATTAGTGTCCAGTGGCACCTTTAAGGCCAACAAAGTTTTATTCAAGGTGTGAGCTTTCATGTGTACACACGCAAAGTACTCAACTTTATTCCTTGTAGACAGGGCTATTTTGGGGCAGGAACGCACAGGAACGGAGTTCCGGCTGGCTCCTGAGTTGGCCACGCCCAGCAGGAACTCATTAGCATAATAGGCCACACCCAAGAGCAGAAACTCATTAGGATTGGCTACATTAGAGGTGTGTGGCCTAACATGCAAAGGAGTTCCTGCTACAAAAAAAGCTCTGGGTTTTGACAACAAACAAGGTAAAACGGAATAAGAAGCAAAAGGCGCGTGTGGCTGGATGACCACACTTCTGGTAACATGGGGGTGCGGCCTAATATGCTAATGAGCTGCGCTGTCAGGGGTGTGGCCTATTATGCTAATGTGTTCCTGCTGGGCTTTTTCTACAAAAAAACCCTGCTTCTAGATATTATCAGGTTAGGTCCTCGAAGACTGCCTTCCCTCCCCCCATCCGCTTAACGTCCCCAATGGACAGAGTGCCACAAGGCAGGGGGGGAATCAAGCAAGATCCCCCCCCCCCAGTGTATCAGTTAAAAAAGCGCTGCAAGCAGTCAACTTGTACAAGAGCAAAGAGGAGCCTTTTGTGCACACACACCCTTCTGACGTGTAGCTCCAGAGCAGGTTGCAGCCCACGTGTTTCTGTCACCAAAGGGCTCATACTGTAGTAATTAAAGAGCAGTGAGGTAAGAGGACAGACATTGTACCCGGAATCATTTAAGGCAATAAGCAGTTAAAGGCACCAGCCAGGGCCAATGACATGTAGTGAAACTGGTAAAGTAATTGCTGTGGGATGTTCGTCTTACAAAATAATCCCTCACGGGTGATGCAAAATAAGCCTGTGTTTCCCCACTCTCCTGTAATATTTGTATGCTGACCATGCAGCCCCCTCCACCACCACCCCGAGCAAGCGGCAGGCCTTTCGGTCAGCTCTCCCCACAGATAATTTCTTGTTTGGCAAATTGACCGTTGTGCAATGACATGATGTATGCTTTTGTTTTTGAGAACAGATCGCCCGGGCCTTGTAAACATAGGACACATTGAAAAGATGCAGGAGAGCATTGTGCATGTACTAAAACTTCACTTGCAGAGCAACCATCCTGACGACATCTTCCTTTTTCCAAAACTTCTGCAGAAAATGGCGGACCTCCGACAGCTTGTCACAGAGCATGCTCAACTTGTTCAGATAATCAAAAAGACTGAATCTGATGCACATTTACATCCTTTGCTACAAGAAATCTACAAGGATATGTATTAAGGCTTTTGGGGGGCTTTTGTATGATCTGTAAAGACGTCGGCAATATTAACAGATGGGAACAAACTACTTTGCACAATTTTCTGTGCTGTGCTTTGGTTTCAAATCACGAGTGAAGCTAAAAAGGGGTTAAACTGGAATCTTATTTTTGTACTCAAGATTGTGTAGTGCTTATGAATAGGGCAACGATCTGGGTTGACTTTAAATTTGGGCAGCAGTGGGTGATTAGTTACGCCGACTCTGAAATCTGCCAATGGCCGTGGTCTTCCACCCCTCCAGGTGGGACGCACTGAGAAGACAGAAATATGTGATAGAAGTCACATGTCATGACAGCCCATGTAGACATGTCACGGGTCACCTGCTAGGAAGAAGACAAAGCAGAGTTATGACCTCACCAGTGTCAAGGTCAGGGCCATGGGTAGCAGACCAAGACAGCCATTTCTCAGTGTGCATTTCCATCCCGAGGAAACTCTCTGTAGTAAGGAATAAGACAGGACAGGTGGATTCAGAGTAACATGCATATGCCCCCCCCACACACACACACACACTATCCTTTGCCTTCTTTCCCCCCTCACCTGTCCAGCCAGGTGACATTCCCCTCCTACCGATGCTCTGATTCTAGCATGGGGGCCCCCAGGCGCACACCTGTGAAACTTCATTTTTATTGGGAAGCTTTTGTAGAGCATCGGAGGGCAGACTGGCAGGAGTGGCAGGGGAAACAAAGTGCAAGGGAAGACGTCTGTGGGAAAGGGGATGACCTCTGAACCTGCCTGGACTGAAAGTAAATGCTGGCCACCGTCAAGTGCCTGTGCCCCTCTGCTCGTGAGCACGAATGGTCCTGCCGCAAATCTGAGAGCCAGGGTGTTGTAGTGGTGAGAGGAGTGTTGGGTTGGTATCTGGTTCGAATCCCCACTCATACCACAGAAGCTTGCTGGGCGACCTTGAGCCAGTCATACTCTCAGCCTAACTTACCTCAGTGGTTGCTGTGAGGATAAGATGGAGGAGAGTGATGTAAGGCACTCTGGGCCCGCCCCCATGGGGGAGAGAGGCAGGGTATAAATACATTAAATTTAAAAACCTGCCAGAAAAAAGCAGCTCTGTAGGGCCCTGATGACCCAGCTGGTGGGGCTCCATGTGTCTCCTGAGAGTCCTGATCCATGGGTTGAAGACCACCGTACTGACAAAGAGTTCTTTAGAAAGTTCTGCCATTTCAAGCCTTCAGCCCTTCCCTTTTTTTACTACTGTAGGATGGCTGGCAGTTCTAACCAGGGATGCCCAAGCGGGCATTGGATTTGTGTTTCCATGGTAGGAGTACCCCATGCGGCATGGCAAACTACGTTTGAAACTTGCTCAAAAGTGCATCTGACATGATGGGAGGAGGAGGAGGAGGAGGAGGAGGGCACTTTAAAGAGGTGCCACAGGTCACACCCAATTCTCTAGGCGCATCTAGAGCAGCTTTCTGGATCTTGGCTCCTGTCTCTGTCTGAAACCTGTGCATTCGTCACTTGACCTCGCGTTCATAGATTCTTTGCTGTCATATAACACATGCTATCTTTATCTGTATAGTGGCTTAATAGCCATACTGTCACTTGAAGTTGCCTTATACTGAATCAGACCATAGGTCTGTCGGAGTCAGTACTGGCAGTGGCTCTCCAAGGTCTTGAGCAGAGGCTAGTCACATCACCTCCTACCTCTTCTCCTTTTAGCTGGAGATGCCGGGGATTGAACCTGGGACATTCTGCGTGCAAAGCAGATGCTCTACCACTGAGCCACAGCCCCTCTCCCAGATATGTGCTTCTGGGGACCCCTAGGAACTAATTCTGTCAGAGTGCCTATGAATTGCTAGCAGAGGTCTGAGCTCCATCACTGTACTACAACCTCCCAAGATCCTTTGGGGAAGACGTGGCCTTTAAGTGGGTATGAAAGTGACCTGTAAGATGTAGGCTTGCCCATGGATCTCCTCATGCCAAACTTGTGTACTCTGTCCACTCAAACTGGGGTTTTTCCCCCCTCCTAAAGGCTACATCACACGTTCTTAAAAGGTCCCTGGAGTATATTACAGTGCTGTAATATTTGAAGCGGCTACATTTGGCTGTGTGTGTGTGTATGTATGTGTGTGTGTTTTTAGTGTGCACTACTGTTACATGCCAGGGTGTTTTTAGAAAAAGGCAAGTAGTTATTTCAAATGGCGCTGGTCCAGAAGGTGTTCATTTAGTGGAGGCTGCCTGTCTGGTGCAAGCGTCTGCACAACAGTTCTGAAGAGAATTGTGAAAGTTCTTTTTAATTTATTTTGTGATGCATTTTACAGAATCACATTTCACATTATAAATCCATGTTGGGGGGGGATTTTTGGGGGGGGAGAACAGAATTCTTTCAGTTGGTGATAACCGTGCAGGTTTCATCTTCCATTGTCTTTCCATAAGGTGTGTGTGTGTGTGTTGGTGGGGGAATTTGTTTAATGAAAAGGGGGAGTTGCAAGATAGTTTCTCTCCCCCTCATAAATCAATGTGCCTTCTTGATTGATTGATTGATTGATTGATTGATTGATTGAGAACATAACCTCTGCGTACCAAAAAATAACGCTGGTTTCTCTAGAGCCCCCAAAAGGATTTGATAGGTCAAAAGCTCCCTTGCCATTGGTGTATTGTGATTAAGACAAATTGAAACCTCTGCCTGGAGATTGTTGACTCAGGATACTTGGGTCAAGAAGCTTACTTGGAAGACAGTTTTTCCTGTAGAATTGGTCTCTGGACTTGCAGACTGTTCCCCCCCCCCCCAGCTGTTTCATACCACATTTCTTTTTAGAGATTTCCATGTTCTGTTGGTTTCTAATTGTCCGGGTGTTCTTCTAGTGCTTTGCTGTTTCACGGGCCCTTCTCTGCAGTGCCCTTGTTTTGTAGTCCAGAATAACCTAGGAGGCAATCTGCAGAGCGCCCACCTGTTTTCGTTTGTCCGCCAATCCAGTGTAGGTGTCTTGCCATTCTTAGCTGCAGCCTGTAAAGTGCAAATGCAGAAAGAACTCTAAAAACTTGTAGAAATGTCAGCAATAGGTTAATGGACTTTTACTAGATGCACTGGAAAGCTGTTTGCACTATCATTTGAAAGACATAGGACTGGGGCAATAACACAAGCATAAATATTGAACAAAAGTTTCGTTTTTTAGTTTTGCTTTCCAAAAATGAAATCTGCTACCTCTACAGATCACGGAAATAGGATTACGCAAATTAGATTCTTCAAAAAATGTACACCTTGTGTGAAAGGGTCCGTGTGGCAAACCCGAATGAACCACAAGGAGGTTCCTGCACTGATTTTTGTCATGCGAAAGAATGAAATGATTTTTTGTTTAGCGGCTTAGAAATTATTATTTTTTTGCACATTTGTGTCCAATATTAATGGCTTCAGGTTGGGATTCTAGTGATGGATACGAATTTCTGAACGTATTTTAATAGGAAAATCTTCCGATATGAGTTTGAATTCCTTGTAAGCAGGAATAACCCAAAGCGTCATTGATATTAGCCCTGGTAACTAAGACATGCAATAAAACAGGACTTCCCCAAGCACAGACTGCAGTTTTGCACAACACTTTTCCTGGTGCAGAGTACCCTTGCTTTAAACTGGAATCTTCCATTTGCGTCCTCCTCTTCCCCATTCATATATCCAGAAAATTTGCACTAAGCTTCATTGGGGGGGGGGGCAGCTTTCTCTTTGGCAACGGCAGAGAGAAATATGTGAAGCTGAGGATTTGAAAGCCAACCAGATGCTTTCTTTCTGCCAAAGTGTTAGTATCTTACTAGAAAGTGTGCATTTCTTTCAGTACACTATTTTTGGATTCGTGGGCCCACGCGGCTTCTTCTTGAAGCCTAATACGGCATTATTGTCTAGTACCAAAAGGTAGCTCAGCAGCAGCAGCTACATCGGAGGCTGCCCTCCTGAGCTTTCTAGCCCGTTTTTGCAGATCTACAAGGTCAGGAAGAAAACCTAAACAAACAGTCGAAGCAGAAGCACAGAAAATAAAATGCAGCACCTGGAATTGGTTTCCGCTCTAATGCAGCCCTGGTGCCCCTTTCTATTTTTAGTGTAAGGAATCTTAGAAAAATAGCTGTTGAATGTTGCACTGCTGCCTCCCGTTCGGTCTCTTGACTCTTGGAATTCTGCATTTCGTAACCTTGAACGGCTAATCATTGCACCCAACTCCATATTGTGAGTGAGACAAAGGGGGGAGCCCCTATATTGCTGGGGCATTTGGCAGTGGTGCCATTCAGGCAAGGTTTTTGGTGACAAGCAGGGGTCATTTTGTAGAAAAAGAGGTGCAGGAGCTTATTAGCATAACTCATTAGTGTAACTTGTTTGCATATGCCACACCCCCTGACCTGGCTGCTTCTTGCTCCTTGTGGCCCAACTGAGGGCTCCTGGGAGCATGGGGCGGGGCTTGTTGCATGTGCCCGCCCCCTGAGCTCCTTACCGCCGGAGCTCCGCTCCTGTGCGCTCCCACAGGAAATGACCCCTGGTGACAAGTGTGGGGCCCCGAGAGCCCTTCCTTAGCAGGGAACCAGCAAATTCAGGCTGTAGCTATGATTGGGTCACCAACTCAGGGTGCGGACATTCCTGGAGATGTTGGGGGTGGGGCCTGGGGACGGGAGGGAGCTCAATAGGCTGTCCTGCCATAGAGTAGGCATTTTCTCCAGGGGGAACGGATCTCTGTCATCTGGAGATCTCCAGGCCTGGCCCTACCTAGAGGTTTGCAAACCTAAGCTATGGGCAAGCTCCCTATTCCCAGTACAGGTGCATCCTCCTTTATTCTTCTATACTTCATTTCCTCTGGTGCATTCATGGAAGGGTAGTGGCCAGAATGTATATGGGAGTGAAGACTGGGAGCGTCATGCATTCTGGGAATGTAGGTGGTTAATGCCAGTTGTTTTGGAAGCTACAATTCCCAGGATCCACCAGCAGGAAGAAATAGAGATGGAGAGTGAAAATTGGAAGAACTTCCTTTCCTCTCAGCTGCTCCTCCATTACTCCCCATCAACAGGGAGCATAACTTGGGATGGAGAAGAGATGGGGATTCAGATTTGCTCAAATTTATGATTTGAGCGAGAGAAGAATTTGGTAGCCAAGAAGATCATCTGCTACTCCGAGCCAAAGAAACATTTTTCGGCATCTCTCAGATTAGCTAGATCTTGTGATCAAGGGGGGAGGGGCATAAAACTATTACAGGCAGAGTCTTTACCACTACCCATTAAGTCTGGGAGGGCTTAATGGATACCTGGGCTGCCTGCATCCCCCAGTGGCTTTCTTAGGAGATCGCCAGCCCCTGGGGACAGACGGTGCACCTGTGATGCACTTGGCTCATACGTTTTCTGCAGCTCAAATTGTAACACTGTGTAGCAAGAAACTGCGTTAATAGACCACTGCTGTTCATTTTCCTCCTGTACCTTCCAAGTAACCTGACCAATTACAGTTCCACTTCCAGCTGATGTTAGCTTTTGAGCTGGAGGCCTGCTTTTGGGGGGAGCTTTCATTACGCCTACCATTTCCTATGCCTTACTGAATCTTTTGACATTCAGCAATCGAGGCAAAAATTGTATAACCTCAGTGCTTTATCTGTGGGAGGGAGGAAGTTCTGCCTCCCCCCACCTGCTGCTGTCCCACTGTAGTTTGATAAGAATAACTGAAACAGAGTCCATATTTGCCTGTACAGTCCTACGTCTTTGTTTGCAAAGTCTTCT